TTGGTTTTTACAATGTGTATCGTTTGGCTTAGACCCCGGCCCCACGAGGACGCATACAGTAAAACGCAAACGCAAAAAAGTATTCCGTTCACACGCATTCGATTCATTAACGCGTCCGTTCACACTAGACCGCTGGAAATGCTGGAAACGCTGTAGTACATATGCCAGGCCTGTAAGTGGCGCTGCTGCCGCCACAAAATACACCAAAAGCAGCGAAGAAGACCCGGGAGCATGGTTGCCCTTCTGTTTATTCTCCGCGGTGGACGGCGTGTTCTCCTGCTGTATATATATCAGGTATACCCCCCCCCCCCACCGAGCGGAGCAAGGCAACGAAACACCCCAGGTGAATAGGGTAATTGTATTAACTTAAAGGTATCGGCTAGAAATTTCTCCAGTTAATTACTTACAATAAGGCAATTGTCTTTTGTATTACAAGTTTTCTGAAATAGCATGTTTAAACATGCAAATTATCCATTATCTCATTAAATATGCACATATAACACATTTCAGGAATCGAAATCTGAACTTTGGATATAGCCAGATTCAAAATTCTTGTTTAATTTTGTAGTCATATTAGTATCTAAGGCTTTTACAGAAGGGATATTGGATATCTCTTTTTATCACTCCATAAATCAGAAAATACTGTCAACAGCCCTAAAATATCCATTTTCGCCATGTTTTTAGGTATACAATGTTGTATAATTCAGGCTATGAATTATATATGAACAAACCCTTCTGTAAAAGCCTTCATAATATTGATAGGAATATAACTTGAAGGTTTGGTGAATCTACGTGCTACTGAAGTTGACATTTCGAACTCAGAGTAGGAGAAAAAACTCAATTTGAGAAAACGACCTTTAAAGATTGCAGTGAGGCGCTAGCTAAACCCTCCTGTTCTTTGGATGACAGCTTGCGCATCGACGCACTCCGTGAAGGTATTTCATGTTCGGGGTCATTTGTTTTTTGTATAACCTTGCTTCCTGCAAGTGACAATTGTTGTCGTCTTCTCTGAACGTTTTTTTCGCCGTTCTTTTGGCATTTTGAGATTTCAATTTGTAGCTGAAAGCTAACCAGGAAGTGTTTTAGCACACCACGTGACGCATCTGAACGAATCACGTTGTCAGAAATTGACACCAGCCAATGAGATTTCGTTTCTTGGTTTAAGACCCCTTTGTGCTTTCACGATTGGTTGCTGATACAAAGGAAATGACCATATTTGGATCCGATGAGATTGTGCAGGAGAGACGGAGCTTTCCAGCGATACCTCTGTTGACATGGTGCACACAGCGGTCGTGGTACTTTAGGTTACGTTAGAATGCTAACTTTTGGTGAATTTAGGAGAAATATACAGACGCAAATAGACAAACTATAGTAACATAAACACTTAAATGTGTATTTTGTACGTGTTCCTTCCAAAAGCCTGAAAGAAAACATGTTATGGAATCAAAATAGCACAAAATCTCAAAATTGACCAGTAGGCCTACTTGAAAAACGATGTTTTTGCCTGCCTTAAAATAAGAACCTTTACCTCATTCACACCAACGCAACTCCGGTTCAAGCTCCGTGCTAGAGCTTTTCAGGTTCAGAACCAGTTCTTCGGTTTAGCTCTGGCTCTTTTCACACCGCCCAGAGTCCGACTGGTAATGCGGTGTTGCCTCATCGTTTGCGTCATGGCGTAACCGTTTGCGTGCCTGCTTCATAAAGCCAAACCCCGCGGATGTCATTTCTGTGGTTTAGTTATATTCTTATAAAAAAGTGTACTCGTGTCAATAAAGGTTTTTTTAAAACACAACTGCTTCCGAGGTCGGTCTTATTTCTTAAGGTGGACTGAACCATGAGTGTGGAGTAACGTTGTATCTTTCATTTAAATGAACTGTAACCTTCACCCAGGTATGTAACAGCTGTTCTCAAATGAACACGTGAAGTAAAGTTTAATATTTATAGTTTTATAGATTTATAATGAGAGGTGATCAACGTGAATGCTCAGGTTCCACCTTAACACGCAGACACGTTGCTTCACCATGAGCAGAAACCTTTATATACAGTCTATGGCAGAAACACTGAAACTCTTAAAGTTGTTAAGTTTCTCCATCGTTGTACAAACTGGATAAAACACGGGCTTTTTGTTGTTGTTCAGGAGTTGATCTATCTCTGCCCCCGCCTCGACGTAAGCGTGACGTATGTGGTGCTTTTGCTCTGGCCGGACAATTTTTTGGTGCTTGAAACGAACCGGATTCCGGAGCTAAGAGGCTGCTCCGCTGCGGTGTGAAGAGGAAAACCCGGTGCTTTTCAAGCTCCAAATCTGAACCGGCCCTGAAACACCGTTGGTGTGAATGAGGTACTTGAGGGCAGAGATGTTCACAAGTCTTTTTTTGCAAGTCCAAGTCAAGTCTCAAGTCTTTGTGGGGTGAGACTTGATCAAGTCTCAAGTCTTTGGTCACGAGTCCAAGTCAAGTCTCAAGTCTTTGTGGGGTGAGACTTGATCAAGTCTCAAGTCTTTGGTCACGAGTCCAAGTCAAGTCTCAAGTCTTTGTGGGGTGAGACTTGATCAAGTCTCAAGTCTTTGGTCACGAGTCCAAGTCAAGTCTCAAGTCTCTAAAAAATAAAAGTCTCATGTCTCTTCTGGTTGTAATAAGCCTTCTATTGTCTGCTGCTATCCAGTCTGTTAAGAATACTGCACAGCTATATTTAAGACATTCAAAGCATGTACTGTATTATTATCACTCCTATATCTATTAGCATACAGTATCAGTACTGATTAGTTGTTATATGATCACTTTAAACAGGCTATTGCAATGTGAGGAAAAACATCACACTTTAGCTAAATGCAAACAACTTATAAGCAAAACACTTCAGAATCAGAAATCAGTATCACAAATACTTTATTAATCCCCCGCAGGGAAACTGTGTTAAAAGTACTTCAAAGTAAACATTTGTTCTGTGCCATTTGCAACTAAAAAACTATTGCTGCAATATTATCTGAAATATACTGAACTGGTGATATTAAAACATGACCTGTTCCAAAAGAGATATCTACCATTAACACCATTTACCAGCCAGATGCTGGTAAATCATGCAAGTGGCTGGTTCTGTATGTTGCACGCACCAGCCACAAATAACAATGGCAATCTATTGAGTGGCTGGTAACATTTCAACATTCACTAGGCTAGCCATTTGGCCAGTGGACAAAAATGTAAAAATTTGACCTCTGCAACCGTATTGTTTAATTACACTGGGTCTCTAATGACATCTTTTAAGTCTACTATAAATAAACATATTCCTCTATCCTCTCACTCAAACCCAGTGTAATGGTAACCTGATAAACCTGTAACATTAACGTTACGTGGTCAACAATAAACCTGTAACCTGCCTATAAACCGACAGATGTATTTATGTATGTAACTATGTATTTTTCAACGTTTAACGTTAGCCAGTAGATGGTGGCAGCGGAACGTAATGATTAACGTTACCGACCTTTTTTATGTCATGTCAAGAGTTGGATGTCAACGTCATTCAACGCAAACAAGTGTGACAAGCAAACATTCACTCATCTTTTCAAATATTCAGTTACAAAGCTAGTAGCAAGCTAAGTTAACATTACATAGCTGATGCTGAGCTAAACATGTTTGCTAACCGAGTGCTTTGACAAAAGATCCATTAAAAAGAGTCATCTGTGGAAGCTGTAATACTGTAAAAAGCACGACCAGTTACTTTAGCCGGCCCGGCTAAAGTAACTGGATGGCCTACCTGCCTGTCAGCCTCCCATCGGGGCAAACATTTATCTCGTGCCCTCATTGGTCATGTGCGCGTTCGTGTGTGTTGGAGGAGGGGCTCTGTGAGGAAGTGGCAGATTTTCTCCGGTTGTGTATTTTCAAATTCTAGCGATCTCGAGCCGGTTTCTCAAATGTACCTACCCCACCTTTAATACGCCAAAAATAGAAAACACAATGATTGTTCACGAGTCCCAAAACAAGAGTCCAAGTTGAGTCCGAAGTCTTTTGAGCAGGAGTCCAAGTCAAGTCTGAAGTCTCTGTGTGTGCGACTTAAGTGCGACTCGAGTCCGAGTCACAAACTCGAGTCCCCATCTCTGGTTTGAGCTTCCACAGACTCACTCTGTGCTCCAGGAGTCAGTGGAGATGCTGTCAGTACTGAGGAGCTGTGAGGGAGAGTGTCTGAGCTTCCACAGACTCACCCTGTGGTTTCCCGACATGTTGTTTCAGTAAATTAAAGGGTGTTTCTTGTTGTCGTTGCTGTGGACCTTCTTAATACCTTGGAAAATGCCGTTTAATACTTTTTTTTATTTTTGCTAAATTGATTTATCAACTTTTAATACTTTTTAAGACCCCGCGGACACCCTGAATGTTATTTTGAACACTTGGTGGTGGGGTGTATAAAAGGGGTCATAGGTGACAGGAGAGGAAGTGGACACAGGAGGAAGAGCATACCGATTCTACCAGACGGCCAGCCCAGACGATGCTCATACTACAACTATTGACACAGTGTACTTAAACCTTGGTATGTAAATCAATGGAACAGCGCACTGTAGGCAGACGGACAGAAAACGAAACTTAAAGGAACAGTGAACATTATGCCTGTCAATTCTGACGTTACGTCAACAGATGGCGCTGTTCTCACAGAATCAGCCCATGCAAAGACAGTGTTAAATTAAGCGAAATGAGGAATGGCTAAAATGCATGATGTTTGGTATTTTGAAAAATAAAAAGTATAAATATGCCTTATATAGGTATGGTCCTACACTATATTATTCAAATATAGCATGATAGGTCCACTTTAAAGGAACAGTGAACATTATGCCTGTCAATTCTGACGTTACGTCAACAGATGGCGCTGTTGGGATGGGATCTGTAATGGAAAAAAGGATTACCCAACACAAGGCCAATAGATGGGAATTGTTTATTGTAAACTGTGAAAAAAACTAAATATGCTTAATTGCGGCTCCTACACTCTTAAACCCACTATGGGTTTTCTCCTGAGTGAACACGAAGATGTTTTTTGAGAGCACTTGATGTAGTGAACGTTTTCCCACACTCTTCACAACAGTAAGGTTTTTCTCCAGTGTGAATACGGTGATGTGATTCTAGAGTACCTGATGTAGTGAAAGTTTTCCCACACTCTTCACACCAATAAGGTTTTTCTCCAGTGTGAATACGGTGATGTGATTTGAGAGAACCTGATGTACTGAAAGTTGTCCCACACTCTTCACAGCTGTAAGGTTTTTCTCCAGTATGAATACGTTGATGTATTTTGAGAGCACCTGATGTAGTGAAAGTTTTCCCACACTCTTCACAGCTGTAAGGTTTTTCTCCAGTGTGAATACGTTGATGTGATTCTAGAGCATCTGATCTAGTGAAAGTTGTCCCACACTCTTCACAGCTGTAAGGTTTTTCTCCAGTATGAATACGTTGATGTGATTTGAGAGCACCTGCTTGAGTGAAAGTTGTCCCACACTCTTCACAGCTGTAAGGTTTTTCTCCAGTATGAATAAGTTGATGTGATTTGAGAGCACCTGATCTAGTGAAAGTTGTCCCACACTCTTCACAGCTGTACGGTTTTTCTCCAGTATGAATACGTTGATGTGATTTGAGAGCACCTGCTTGAGTGAAAGTTGTCCCACACTCTTCACAGCTGTAAGGTTTTTCTCCAGTATGAATAAGTTGATGTGATTTGAGAGCACTTGATGTACTGAAAGATGTCCCACACTCTTCACAGCTGTAAGGTTTTTCTCCAGTATGAATACGTTGATGTATTTTGAGAGCACCTGATGTAGTGAATCTTGTCCCACACTCTTCACAGCTGTAAGGTTTTTCTCCAGTATGAATACGTTGATGTATTTTGAGATGACCTGATCTAGTGAAACTTGTCCCACACTCTTCACAGCTGTAAGGTTTTTCTCCAGTATGAATACGTTGATGTGTTTTGAGAGCACCTAATGTACTGAAAGTTGTCCCACACTCTTCACAGCTGTAAGGTTTTTCTCCAGTATGAATACGTTGATGTATTTTGAGATGACCTGATCTAGTGAAACTTGTCCCACACTCGTCACAGCTGTAAGGTTTTTCTCCAGTATGAATACGTTGATGTGTTTTGAGATCACCTGATTGAGTGAAAGTTGTCCCACACTCTTCACAGCTGTAAGGTTTTTCTCCTGTATGAATACGTTGATGTCTTTTGAGATGACCTGATCTATTGAAAGTTGTCCCACACTCTTCACAGCTGTACGGTTTTTGTCCTGTGTGAATACACAGGTGGCTCTTTAAAGTTCCAGATGTTGTAAAGGATTTGTCACATTGCTGACAGCTGTGACGTCTCTCTCTTCCTTTTGGTTTCTAGAACAGACGGACAGAGAAAGAGAGAAAGTCAATCTAAAAAGCATAAATACACAAGTTAACACAATAAAAACTCACTTAATATAAACCTTGAGTTAACAAAATACTACTTATCAACTGTTTGTCTTTATTATATTTGACACAGTAATACAGCAATATTCTAACCAAAGTATATACCAGAGGTGGGGGACTCGAGTCACATGACTTGACTCGAGTCACATGACTTGCCTATTTTTTGACTTGAGACTTGCTTGACTAACATTGATAAAAGACTCAACTTGACTTTGACTTGGTATTCATGACTTGAGACTTAGGCTTGAGACAGATGACTCGAAAGGACTTTACTTTTTAAAATAGAATATTTGCATTTGTATTGTACGAAGCACAGAGAAAGTCTCTTCTCGTTGGCAGGAGAAAGTAGGAAGTGGAGCGCCAGGGGTGTAGAGTTATTTGTTCAAGCACCGGATCGGCAAAACAGGAGAGTCTGTGAACCAGTCTGCCTTGACCTATGTATTCATGTCTGTGACACACACACACACACACACACACACACACACACACACACACACACACACACACACACACACACACACACACACACACACACACACAAACACACACACACACACACACACACACACACACACACACACACACACACACACACACACACACACACACACACACACAACACACACACACACACACACAGGTTTTTGTGAACTAAAAGGACACTTTGACCCAAACACGTTTTTTCCTTCATTAGAAGGACACCCCTTTCCACTAGCTTTACAAAGATGTTTTGAATATCAAAAAATCTATTTTGAGCCATACAACACAAATCCCACTTCAAATGTCAAATACACACAGCACAACTCAAAATACAACAACCTGACACCATGCTTAATTATGAAGGACAGCAGATAATGAGCTGCATAAGCCCCGCCCATGACAAAATTGTTATTTGTGAGGACAGTAGCTATACAACACACAAACATGTCACTGAAGTGTATTAAAGGGACAAACATGATTAAATGGAACATAACTTTACACAGACAAGTGTTGGATTGTGCATTACAAGAACAAACCTTTTATAAACGGACAAAATGTATACAGCATAGGAATACCTGATTTGTGATGTAATATTTTAATAGACAATATAGTGCACCATAGATATATAGCTTAAAAGTATGTTAATGTGTTTGGTTATTGCTTGCCTCCGCAATCTGTTGTTTTCATGCAAATGTAGAACCACATTCTAATACTCTCCAGTGGTATACTACAAGCAGGTCTCCCGAGACGAATTCAATCCATTTGCAAGTAAATGCTTATATTTGCAGCACTGCTAATTGCAATTACATCATCGATATGAAAATAACCGATAACCATTTTATAGCAAAGTGACTGAACTGGTTTATCACTAATACAAAATGCTATTTGCCCTACAAGACTGCTCATCTACTGGAGCATTACCTTTCAAAAGCTGATACAAAAGGACACATGGCACCTTGCACAGTGAACAATGAGCCAAGTTTAATGGTTATTTTCACATAACATTTTCTCACATGAAAATTGAGCTAAGACTAAATCTTTATTATTTGAAACATATAACTCTCCTTCCAGCATTACCTTGGTACGACAGAGGATTAGGGCCACACAAAAGAAAAGATAGAAGAATAAAGTCATAATTACGAGATTAAAGTCGCTATGTTCGGAGAATAAAGATGAAATTATCCCGGGGGCTGAGGGGTCGTTGCAGCAGATCTTCAAGAAAGTTATATTGACAGATTGGAACTGGAACGGATCAATAACTCATAAACAAAACGTTGCTAAAACACAAACTAACTACCGTAATAAGGTAAACAACTATCCACAATCCAATTTAATCAAAACAACCTCACACCCGCCGCCCTCTGAGCTGGACACATCACACAGGTGTCTGTCTGCAGCCGAAGGAGAGAGGAGGGGTCAGGGACCGTCTACAAAGTGCAACACTGAAAAAAATACTGCAAATAAACTACTAAAACCACCTATTTTCGCAAAGTTGCATGTGTAGTTTAAGCAACAGTATATTATTGTGTGATTTAAAATGTGATGTTTTATAGCTTTATAACAGAGGAGTTATTGAGTATATCTTTATTCAGTGTTGCACTTCGTAGACGGCCCCTGACCCCTCCTCTCTCCTCCAGCTGCAGACAGAGGACACCTGTGTGATGTGTCCAGCTCAGAGGGCGGCGGTGTGAACGGTAGTTAGTTTCTGTTTTAGCAACGTTTTGTTTATGAGTGTTTGATCCGTGAAGTTCCAATCCTTCAATATAACTATCTGCTGCAACGACCCCTCAGCCCCCGGAATGATTTCATCTTTATTCTCCTAACATAACAGCTTTAATCTCGTAATTATCCTTATAATAAAACATTGCTCCTACATGTAACATAATAATGAAAAGTTGAACTGTGAACTGTCCTCATTGCATGTTCGATTACATTTCATCATCATTTGTGTAGCAGTGCTTTTTTCTTCTGAGTCGTGCCTTGGCTCCTGACGAAGTCTCTAATATTTTGCAAAGAGCGACCAGCCAGAATAGGATGCTCTGCAGCTTTGCACTGTCTGCAGTCTATCATTGTGGCCACTTTCCCCTTGGTGTGCATTAAAGTGTCTCAAAACTGCTGCCACCTTTTTTGGAGACCACTTCTGTTTTTGCATCCTCCTGGGATTCCTCTCCACAGCATTTTCAAGAGACTCTACAAACAGAAAAAGAGGAAATCTTGTGGATGAAGAAGGACCAAGTTTAATCACTAGACATCCAGAGTAGTATACAAATGCTTTACTGGCTCTTGTTGTGAGTTAACAACACAATCAGGTAGAAAGACACTGATTATAGTATTTAATATCTAAAGAGTATGATCATTCAGTTTAACATTAAGAATAAAAACAGCATTGACACACAGTCCTCTTAGTGTCTAAAGCGGTCCAGTAGAGTGATACACAGGACCTGTGTATCGAACCTCAGCATTCAAATCCAGTCTTCATGGTTTATAACTTGAAATAAATATGTAACTAATACCAACATTAGCCACGTTCACACCAAGTACTTTGCCGTACTTAGTGCCGGCACTTAGTGCCGGCACTTAGTGCCGGCACTTAGTGCCCCGGCACTTAGTACAGATCGCGTTCACACCGGAATAAGTTCCCTGAGGGAAGATTACGCAAATGAGCCGCTGACGTCACTTCGTCTTCTTCTGCTTTGGGTTTACTGGCAGGCCGCAAACAGCTTCACGGCGTATACTGACACCCGAAGTCCCCGGCCGGAAGTCCCCGGAGTTGGGGAACGCTTCAGTAGAAGCTGCTGGGAGTCCCAGCAGCTTCTACTGAAGCGTTCCGAGTAAATCGCCAGAACACCGACACCTCCTCATCTCCACCGCTCCCATGTTTTATTTTGTGTTTCCATAAGTTAATCTCTCTGCATTTGTGCGCTGGGCGAATGCTAATGCTAATAATGCTAACGCGAGGATAATAAAATGGCGGCTCTACAAAACATTTCAGAGTTTTACGGGGCGGGGTTTGCAATTCGACCAGCCAATCAGAACTGGGGCACTTTTTTCCCCCAGGAAAGTACCATCTCTCAGCAGGCACTAAAAATGGGGGTAAAAGTTCCCGGCTTGAAGTACTCTTTTTGGTGTGAACGCCACATAAGCGGTAGTAACGGAACTAAACGTGAAAAGTACGGGGAAAAGTACTCCGGTGTGAACGCGGCTATTGAGTTGTGGTTAACTCACCTGTGTAATGTCATCATAGTGGGACTCAGATGTCATGGCAGCATCTTCATGCAGAGTCTCTGCCTCAGTAGAAATCTTGTGGATGAAGAAGGACCAAGTTTAATCACTAGACATCCAGAGTAGTATACAAATGCTTTACTGGCTCTTGTTCTGAGTTAACAACACAATCAGGTAGAAAGACACTGATTATAGTGTTTAATATCTAAAGAGTATGATCATTCAGTTTAACATTAAGAAGAAAAACAGCATTGACACACAGTCCTCTTAGTGTCTAAAGCGGTCCAGTAGAGTGATACACAGGACCTGTGTATCGAACCTCAGCATTCAAATCCAGTCTTCATGGTTTATAACTTGAAATAAACATGTAACTAATACCAACATTAGCCGCGTTCACACCAAGTACTTTGCCGTACTTAGTGCCGGCACCAAGTACTTTGCCGTACTTAGTGCCGGCACCAAGTACTTTGCCGTACTTAGTGCCGGCACTTAGTGCTCCGGCACTTAGTACCCCAGGGCACTAAGCTCTTGTTCTGAGTTAACAACACAATCAGGTAGAAAGACACTGATTATAGTATTTCATATCTAAAGAGTATGATCATTCAGTTTAACGTTAAGAAGAAAAACAGCATTGACACACAGTCCTCTTAGTGTCTAAAGCGGTCCAGGAGAGTGATACACAGGACCCGTGTATCGAACGTCGCAATTCAAATCTAGTCTTCATGGTTTATAACTGGAAATAAATATGTAACTAATACCAACATTAGCCGTGTTCACACCAAGTACTTTGCCGTACTTAGTGTCGGCACTTAGTGCCCCGGCACTTAGTACAGATCGCGTTCACACCGGAATAAGTTCCCTGAGGGAAGATTACGCAAATGAGCCGCTGACGTAACTTCGTCTTCTTCTGCTTTGGGTTTACTGGCAGGCCGCAAACAGCTTCACGGCGTATACTGCCACCCGAAGTCCCCGGCCAGAAGTCCCCGGAGTTGGGGAAGGCTTCAGTAGAAGCTGCTGGGACTCCCAGCAGCTTCTACTGAAGCCTTCCGAGTAAATCGCCAGAACGCTGACACCTCCTCATCTCCACCGCTCCCATGTTTTATTTTGTGTTGCCATAAATTAGTCTCTCTGCATTTATGCGCTGGGCTAATGCTAATCCTAATAATGCTAATGCGAGGATAATAAAATGGCGGCTCTAGAAAATACTTTACTGGCTCTTGTTGTGA